GTGTGTGTGTGTGTGTGTGTGTGTGTGTGTGTGTGTGTGTGTGTGTGTGTGAAGGACAGCCTGGGTGGCCACACCCCTGACAGAAGCTGGCTTGCCCTCCCCTGACAGCCCTCCATTGCCAGAGCTTTTCAGCTAGGGATGGAGCGTCACGAGCCTCTCCCTGCTCCGTCCACACTGGGATGTCAGCTGGCTTGATCTTGGCAGGCAGCCACAACCTCTGTGGACTCCTGAGAGCAGCAGCTTTGTCGTGTCCAGAACACGCTGGTTTGCAGGGGTCCTCCCCGGATGGGCTCTTAGGATCTTTCTGCCCTCTCTAGCCGATTTTCTCTAAGCTGCGGGAGAAGTTGGTATGATGTGGATGCCCCCTTAGGGCTGAGCGCCCCAAACTCACTTAGCCTCCAGATTTTTAGTTTTCCTCTGAACTAAAAGGAAACCTCAGAGAAGACGGGAGATCTGTTGAGGTTGTACGTGGCCCATGATAGAACACTCGCTTAAAAATGGGTTACGAAACTACCTAGTGGTTTCGTAATATACATAACTTAACAACTGTAATAGTAAAGATTGAACTGATATGCCCTGTTCAAGAAGCAATCAGCACGTGTCTAAATTTTATATAGGAAATTTATTTACTCAACACTTACTTGTGCATGTCATCTGCTTGTAAGCACTGCTTAGACAGTGGGAAAATAGTCATAGCCAAAGACAGCTGCTTTGTGAAACTGCGCTTAGTCGAGGCAGACAGTAATCCCATAATCTCTATATCCAACATTGGATGACATAAGGCTTAAGAGGTAGCTGCTCTTGACTTTTCCCCGTATCTATGACGAGATTTAGTTGATTTCTGTTCCCTGGATAAGAGACGGTCATGAACCAAAGTGCTTCTCTTTCCTGTTTAGGGGTTAGAATTGCAGGAAACGTCCTGCCACACTGCTGAAGCCCAGAGAGTTGATGAGGTGTTTGACAGTGCTTTTCAGCGAGAACACCCACAAGTGTGTGCCCTGAATGAGCACCTGGGGAACATCTTGACACCATGTACTGTTTTGCCCGTGAAACTGTATTCTGATGCCAGGGGTGTCCTGTCTGGCATTATCGATTCTCACGAGAACCTGAGGGAATTTAAAGATGACCTTGTCAAAGTGCTTGTATGGGTGCTCATTCAGTATTGCTCTAAAAGGTCCAGCACTCAGGAGAATATTTACAAAACTGAAAATAACAGAGAAGCCCCACCAGCGCCTCTTCCTGCTTTGAACACTTCACCTTGCCCTGAATCCCTGGAAGACTCAGATAGTTTAAAATCAGATACTTTCCATGACTGGTCTGATGATAATCTTTTTGATGACGAACCAGCTAACAAAAACAGAAAAGAAAAACTTCAGTTCAGCGATCTGCCAGGTACAAATTTGCCTATTCCAGGGTCGGTAGATTCCCAGAGTGCAGATGATCACTATACAGGCACAGGCCCTAAAAACGATCTTTACAAGACAGTTTTGTTGGGATTCCCTGCTATTGACAAGGGACAGCGAGAAGACGTGACCTGTATCCCTCTGATGGAGTTCAGTTGTTCCCAGTCTCACCTGCTGAGTTTACCTGAAGAATGGAGGTCTAACTGTACACCCTATTCCAAAATAAAGGAGATGAGCCCCTTGTTTCCCGAAGACTGGTATCAGTTTGTTTTAAGGCAATTGGAATGTTTTCATTCAGAAGAAAAGTCAAGTGTACTAGAAGAAATTGCAAAGGATAAAGCTTTAAAAGACTTGTATGTCCACACTGTAATGGCTTGTTATATTGGTTTATTTGGAATAGACAACATGGTGCCTAGTCCTGGCCAGCTAGTAAGAGTCTACAATGGTGGTTTGCCCTGGTCTGGCACCTTGGATTGGCTCTCAGAAAAACCAGAACTGTTCCAACTAGTTCAGAAAGCATTCAGGTAACTCATTTTGATTATATACAAGTTGTTTTTTGTTTTTTTTTTTTTTTTAAATCACTAGAAGATTCCTTCATTTATAGTTTTTTGTCGTTGTTGGTGCTTTCATGATTTTTTAAAAGCTTGGTCTATAGTATAATTGTATTGGAAACGATTTAATTTCTACACTTTTGATTTCGTTTGTATAGAGGACTTTTTAAATAAGACTCATTGGATTTCTTGGTTCAGCTGCTTTCATTTTTTTTGTTTGTTTAGAGTTTTGTTGTTTCAGTTTTGAGGCTAGAACCTGGATACCTTGCCTCTACCTCCAGAGTGCTGGTGCTGTAGGCATGAGCCACCACCATCACATGGTTCTAGGGATCAACCCACAGCCTTGTTGTGCATGCTAAGCAGGTATACTGCCCACTGAGTACATCTTCAGCCTCGTCCCCCTCAATTTTTTTTTTTATTTGAAATGGATGACTTCATTTTAGTGGAGGTGGGCTGTTGAGACGTGATCCCAGACTGACCTTGAGCGCATTCTGGATCTCCAGGGATGGCCTGGGCACCTCCCTCCGCATCTTGAGTGCCCACCATCACGTGTGTGCCACTGTGCCGCTCTGCTTGGCTTGAGGTGGATGCTATCCCTCCCGAGTCTTAAAAATAGTGAACAGATAACTCTCATCTCTAAAGTTCATCTTAAATATTCTGAAATTGTTTGGGTTTCCATTTTCTTAGGTATACGCTGAAACTGATGGTTGATAAAGCAAGTTTGGGTCCAACAGAAGACTTTAAAGAGCTGGCCGACTGCCTCAGAGAATATGAGAGGGACTGGTACATTGGCTTAGCGTCTGAGGAGCAGTGGAAGGAAGCAATTCTAGAAGAAAAGCCGTGCTTGTTTTCCCTGGGCTATGAGTCTAGTACGGTAAGGCATTTTCATGTGGAAACCTTAAAGATTAAAAAATGTAAAATATTTGAGCTGATAAATGGTGTGACATTCTAGCTATTGATAATGGGTTAATGGCATTTGAAAGGTATTTATAATCATGGCCCTATGATCAGATAGTATAACCCAGAACAGCTGGTTCATTTCCTTCTGCCCGCTGAATAGGGAACAGTTAAAAACACTGATTACTATACAGCCGCTGTGAGGTAGTCAGCGCATGTAGTCCACCTCAGAGCTTCTGCCCTGTGAGAGAAGCAAGTCAGGGAAAAGATAAGTAAATATCAAGAAAAAGCTGAGCTCTGAAGCACTTCCCAAAAGAAATGATTCATTAGCCACAGTGTGGCTGCCTCAAGGTGAGCAGTAAGTGTGTCCTTGGCCTTGTAACAGAAGGTAATGTGCTTTTTAGGAACCACCCAGAAGAAATCCGCAAGACAGGCAGACTTGGCAGGGAGCTAACTCCGTCACTGTAGATGCAATCCTCAGCAAAATATTAGCTAACCAAGCCAGCAGCCTATAAAAACAACTTTTGTGTCAAAATAGTGTATAAAATCGGTTTAAAATATAAAAAGCCAATTAATGTAATACATAGTAACAATAGGGTAAGAAACAAACACCCCATAATTATCTCCATAGATAAAAAAGAAGAAAACCCCATTTAGTGAAATCCAACACCCTTTCATAGTAAAAACATTTTTTTTCCAGAAATTAAAATTGATATAAAAATGTATGTTACCATCATAGTACTGTGCTGGAAGTTCTGTCTGTGTGTAATGAACGGATTGTTTCTGACCTGAATTCACATTGAACTCCTTGCCTCAGTGTATTGGGAAGTAACTAGGATCTGATAAGATTCTAGGTGTTGAACTGTGTGGCAGGATTAAGGGCATTACAACATGAGGAAACATAACCCTCCTGTTATGTATACCACACAATGACAGAGGAGGAAGGCAGCCTTCTCCAAGCCAGGAAGAGGCCTTACCGCAGCCTAGCCATGTGTGCCCTCACTGCAGTCTCAGCCTCTGGAACAGTGAGAAAACAAACCTAGGCCAATCTCCCCCTTCCTCCCCTTCTCCTCTGCCTCTTCCTCCTCCCCCTCTCTTCTCTCTCCACCTTTCAACAAGGGTCTTGCTGTATGGGCCAGGCGAGTTGGGGGTTCGTGAAAACCTAGGCTCCATGATCACCCTGTCTCTGTCACCCAGGATGCAAAGACTAGAGGCCTGTGCCACCATACTTAGTATCAATGTCTATTGTGTCAGCAACAGAGTAATGAAGCAAAAGAAAAAGGCATAGGATTCAGAACCAAAAACAGAACACTATTTGCAGGCGGCACAATCTTTTCTTTAGAATGTGAGGAATCTATGTTAAAATTATTGAAAATAATTGTAGGATATAAGAAGATGGTCAACATAAAAATCTTCTGTATTTTTACATACCAGCAATAACCAAACCAAAATCAAATAAGGAAATCTGGTTTATATTACACCAAAAAGAATAAGGAACATTGAAATGGCTTAGCAGGTAAAGACCTCGCCACCAAATCTGATGGTGAAAGAAAACCAACTTCTAAAAGTTGTCTTCTATCTGTACACCATGTACATATGTCTCTGTACACACACATACTGAATAAAGTTTAAAGATTTTAAAAACAAAATAAAAGCCAGGCATAGCATCTCATGCCTCGAATCCCTGTGTGCAGAACACAGAAGCAGAGGGGCCAGGAATTCAGGGGTATCTGGGCTACATAGTAAGACCCTGGCTCAAAAGATAATGTACTTAGGTAGAAATTTAATAAGTATAAAACAGGTACCCTGAAAACTGTAAAACATTGTTGAAAGAAGGAATTAAAAATTTAAAGACAAGAAAACTCACAATAAAAATACCCATACTTGTGAATCAAACTATATTGTTAAAAATGTAGTACTTAGGACTATATTTTAGCAGTTAAGAGCACTGGCTGTTCTTCCAGAGGTCCTAAATTCAGTTCCCACCTCCCCCACCCCCCACAGCTCACAATCACCTGCAACTATAGTTCCAGGGGATCCAGTGCCCTCTTCTGACCTCCATGGACACTAGGCTTGCAAGTGGTACACAGACTTATGCACAAGCAAAATACACACTAAGTGTACTTTTTAAGTGGTAACACTCTTCAGATTAATCCATAGTTGTAACACTCTCATTCAAGGCCCATCTGCCTGTAGTAAAAAAAAATGGCAGGATGGCTTTCTAAAACTCATGGAATGTCAAGGAACTTAGAATAGCCAGAAAAGTCTTTTAAAAAGAAAATTGGTGACCTCATACTTGTGAGTTTCAAAATGTATCAGAAAGCACCCAGTGTCAGGTTCTGTGTGGTTCGGCATTAAGATAGCACTTAAGGGAGTGAAATGGAAATAAAAAGAAGGAGACCAAGAGCATCTAATGGAGAATCATTGTTTTCACAAGATGGTACTGAAATAGTTGAGTGTCCACGATTAAGAGACATCATGGATTATGGACATCATTTCCCCGTGGCTGCTACAAAACTCATCCTCACAAACTGGGTGACTGTAAAGAACAGATATGTTGTCTCCCATTTCTGGAGTTGGGAATCTACAGTCAGGGTTTGAGGAGGTCACACCCCCTCTGAGGGCTCCGGAGAAGAGCTCTTCCCTAATCTCTCCTACTTCTGCTTGCTCTTCACAGTCCACCTGTGGCTCTGTAGCACCAGTCTCCATTTTCACATGGCCTTCTCTTCTGTAGTGTGAGGGAGCTCTCCCACCCCTTTCTTTTACAGGGACACAAGACCTTGGTCGGCTTAGGATCTACTGAAACCCAGCATGATCTTATCTCAGAATCTTCAGTTACATCTTTAGGTACCCATCCCAGTAAAGGCCATGTTCACAAGTACCACGGTTAGGACTGACATTCCTTTCATTTGAAGATGCTGTTCAGCCCACTGAAGATTTCAGCTAACACCATATTAAGTAACTGACCTCCGTTGCATCAAATAACTAAACATTAAAACCATGGAAATTTCAGGAGAATATGTGGGAGTAATCTTCATGACCTCAAACTTAAAAATAAATTCTTAGATATGATAACAAAAGTATGAGAAACAAATGAAACCACATCATTAAAAATAAAATGTTTAAGGGCTAGAGCAATGGCTCAGCAATTAAAAGCACTGCTTGCTTTTCCAGAGTACCAGGATTGAATTCTTAGCATCCACATGGTACCTCGACCATCTGGAATTCCAGTCCTGAGAGATCCAACACCCTCTTCTGGCCTCAGACACTATATACACATGGTATACAGACATGCATTCAAGCAAAACACTCATACACATAAAAAAATGAAACTGAAAAAAAATTAAGTAAAACCTTGGAGCTAAGGATATAGCTCAGTTGCTAGAGTGCTTACGTAGGATGGAGGAAGCCCTTGGTTTGGTCACCGCGTAAAACCAGGGAAGGTAACCTAGGACTCCATCATTCAGGAGGTAAAAGCAAGAGGATCCAATGTTCAGAGTTATCCATGGCTGTAATGAAATTTCTCATTCATTCTAACTATGTGAGACCTGTGTCAAAAAATAGAAAAAAAAGTAAATAAATAGGTTAACCAGGACTGGGAAAGTGGCTCATTGATAAAATGTTTGCCTCATGCACAAAACCCTAGGTTGAATCAGAAGTATTAGAAAAGGAAAAACAAAAACAAAAAAAGAATATAGGTTCTATATTTGCTGGTCTGGTGCCTTACTAAACCCAGGACCTAGGATCCTGAGGATTGCCACAAGTTTGAGACCAATCTGGGCTACAAAGTAAGCCCTCAAAACAAAACAAACAAAAAACAAAAGCCAACCAACCAAAACTAAAGTTCTTTGCAAAGTCACACATCCATAATTGCAGGAGAAAGGTCAAGAGTTCAAGGTCATTCCTGGTTAACAGAGGATCCGTAGTGAGTTTACATCTGTGGCCTTCCCGGACCACGTAAGACCCTGTCTCAAAACAAAATAGAGGGTGGAGGGATGGCTCAATGGTTTAGAGTGCTATTGTTTTTGCAGAGAACTGCGGTTCAATTCCCAGCACCCATATGGTGGGTGAGTCTATCTGTAAGTCTAGGTCCAGGGGTCCAGTTCCCTCTTTTGGCCTTCTTGGGCACATGCAGGTAACACATATAAAATAATAGAACAAACTTTTTTTTTTTTTTTTTTTTTTTTTTTAATGAAAAGGAGGACAGAGAAGAAGGGCCAGCACACTTTCTAATCCCCAGGAAGATCAAGACTTCATGGTTATACTGCTGCACAGACTACAGAATTTTATTCTAGCCTGGGCTGTATGAGGCCCTGCCTCAAAACATACAGAATTGAAAAAAATAAACTTTGTGTGTCAAAGCATGCTGTCAAAAAGTGAAAACACTACGAGAATTTGGAAAAATAGATATATATATCAATCATAAAAAATCTGTTACTATAATATGTAAAGAACTTAGACTCTAATCAAAACAGGTGTCTGATTGATTGTGGACAACAGCCATCCGTATACACATTTCTCCAAAGGTACACAGTGACGAAGAAACACATATACACAAAATGCTGCGCCTCATAACATCAGGAGACAAGTCAAAACCATAATAAAATTAGGGCTGAGGTGTGTAGTTTAGCGGTGAAATTACTTGCCTAAGCATGTGCAAGGCGCCAAGCCTGACTCCCACACTACCCAAGAAACAAGCAAAAGCCATGACATTTTACTGTGCTGTGATGGCTCAGTTAAGAGTTAATAAGTCTGGGCAAGGATGTGAAGAGATTATATGCCAATTATAACCCTTATATGCCGATGTTTGGAATATACAGTCACTTTGGAAAACACTCGGGTCATTTCTCCAATAATGGGTCATGGAGCCACAACAGGATCCTGCAGTTGCACTGCAGAGGAGCAAAGGTGTAGGCTGGCGCAGAAACTTGCTGCACACAGCTGCTGGTAGTGTGCTGTTTATAATGGCCAAAAGGCAGAAGCCGTGCATCAAGAGACCATGGGCATTTTATAGTACACCGTACAAGGAAAGGAATGAGGATGGTCGAGGCTACGAGGGCCATGAGCGGGTGAGTCAGTTCAGGTAGCGTCATTGTGATTGCTGGGGGACATGGAATGACCACAGCGTTTCTTACTGAGGCCATGAGAACTGTTCTTAGATTAACTGGGCGGTCACTGCGCGTTCACTGTCTGCCCAGGGGCCATTGGATTATAAACGGACAATTGAAATGAGCGAACTATGCAGAAATCTAACTGTAACCCCGTAAAACTTTCTGAAAAGGAGCCTAGCTGAGGGATTGGCCACTGTGATGACTCTTGATTGTCAGCGAGATAGGACTTAAGAGTCACCGCGAAAACAAACTTCTGGCATGCCCCTAAGGGAATTCTAGATGGGGTTGAGGTGGGGAGGCCCACCCTCGGGTGAAGGGGCAGCATCGCCAGGGCCAGGGTGCCGGACCAACTGAAAGGGAGGAGGGGAGCTGAGCATTGCTCTCTCTGTGGACGCCACACGCTCGGCTCTCCCGTTCCTGCTGCCAAGACCTCCCTCACGGAGCGGACCGGACCCTTCCTTCACTAGGGTTGTTTTTGTCCAGTATTGCCTCAGCAGGGAGAGGACAACAGCCCCGTCCACTAACACTGTGCGCTGCCAAGGCTAAGCGAGTGGTCGGCCAGGGTCAGAAAAGACTAAGTTACTGAAATTCGGTCCTCACAGTAATCAAGTGATAAATGCTCTTCGCGGATTGATTTAGAGAGCTAGGAAAGAGAGGTGACCCCTGATTCCAAAGCCTGGCAGCTTGGGCGTATTTTAAACCACCAGGCTCTACTGTTGGTTGGCGCACACTCCTGCTGTATTTTTCGGTGATCTTCCCTGTCCCCTTTACACTTCCAGGGCGTCTACACCTCAAGGGTCCTGATGCTTCGGGAGCTGTCGGTGCACATCGGGCAGCTGAACGCCGAGGCCATTCGAGGTCAGTGGGCCAACCTCTCGTGGGAACTGCTTTATGCCACCAACGATGATGAGGAGCGCTACAGCATCCAAGCTCACCCGCTCCTTCTGCGGAACCTCACTGTGCAAGCCGCGGACCCTCCCTTGGGCTACCCAATTTTCTCTTCCAAACCTCTCCCTATACATTTGTGTTAGTCCATTTTTACATCCAAATGCAAGGGCGTCGCCAGAGGCGCTGCTGGAAAAGTGAGAGTCGCGGTTCTGGGATGTCGCTAGACTTCCTTGCCGCAGGGAACGATTTAAACAGAAGCTCCCCTGCATCTAACATGGGTAAAAGTAGTTGGCCAATATTTGTGCTGTATGAGTTGGGATCCATTTGGGTAGCTAGAGACATTTGTATACAATTACATGGTTTTTTACTGCTTTGTTAAATGTCTGAAAGGTGGTTTGTCTTTTAAAAAGTCAACAGGTGTGTCATTACATACTAAAAAACATGCATATCAGTGTTTTTTTAAATAATAATGGATCATTTTAATGCTTACCATGACATGTACATATATTTATTTGAAATGTAATTAATTTTTAGTATTTTCAAATGTTGTACTGTTTTAACATTTAACGTGGTATGAACAGTTCCACTCAATGTATTTATTTTTCATATACTTCAGTTTGGAAACCATAAGCACTTCAAATAAAATATCACCAGTTAAATCTTGTTCTTTTTTCTGGGGATGGTGGACATGTTTGTAGGTGCCTACCCATGCTTGTGGAGGCCAGAGGTCAGCCTCAGGCAGTATTTTTCACAGGGATTGGGGCTTGCTGAGTTGGCTAGGCTGGCCAGCCAATGAGCCCCGTATCAGTTTATTCACCTTACATCTAAAGAGTGTCCCCTCCCTCCTCTCTTCCCACCCTCCCCTTTTCCCTTCTTTCCCATCTCCCTTTCCCCCCAGAAAAGGGAAACCCCCTACCCCCATATCAACCCTCTCCAACACATCAAGTCCCATCAGGACTGAGCATATCTTCATCCCCTGAGGCCAGACAAGGCAGCCCTGCCAGGGGGGGAGTTAGCCAAAAGCAGGCAATAGAGTCCATGTTAGAAACAGCGCCCCCCTCCAGTCACCAGGCGCCCCATATGAAGACCAAGCTACCCATCAGCCACATATGTGCAGGGGCCTAGGTCCAGATCATGCATGCTCCTTAGCTGATGTCTCAGTCTCTGAAAGCCCCCATGGGACTGGGTTAGTTGTCCCTGTTGGTCTTCTTGTGAGGTTCCTGTCCCCTCCAGGTCCTTCCATCTTTCCCCCATCACTTCCACAGCACCCCCAGAGCTCTGCCCCGTGCTTGGCCTCGAGTCCCAGCATCTGTCTCCATCCGCTGCTACACGCCTGGCTCTTCACATGGGGGATGGAGACCAAACTCAGGGCATCATGCTTGGGTGGCAAGCACTTTACCAACTGAGATGTCGTCTCCAAGAAAACCTTACCCAGCTTTCCAACTGTTTGGTTAGATGTAAGTGAAACAGGGCTCTTCATTCACCATGGGTGTTCTCACAACCAGAGGCCATCCTATAGTCTTGACTCCTTACACAGTTCTTGCAGCTGATTTACCAGTGGGGTCACAGGTATATGAACTGAAACAGGAAGTAGAGGGAAGTTTCTATGAAGTGATTGGAATTTCGTGTTGGTTCTCTTGCTGCCTAGGAATGATTTACAGTCACTTAAAAGGAGAGAAAGATGGTGGATCCGAACCTCTTCAGATGGAACTTGCCTTATTCCTTACTTGACTTCCAGCTAAGTCTATGAGAACTCCCAGAATCCTAAGATAATAATGCATTATGTTTGAAAATGACTGAGCTTATTAAAGTGTGCTGGTTGTAGTTATTAGCCCAGTTACTGGATCAGTTTATTTTATCAATGCTAAAAAGATTATTTTGGAACTCGTTTCAGATAATAAATTAATGAGATTTCTGTGTTGAATTTCTGGAGGTGTGACAATATAATAAGATGGAGTTTTATGTTATACCCTAAACCAGTTTAGCTATCTGGCTGTGCTTTATCTGATTGGATTTATTAGATGGGCAACATTATATCTTCTTATGCAGAAAAAATGTTCTCTTTGTAGTGGTCAAATGGGGGTTGCATTAACATTATTGGACTTCCCCCCAAACAATTTAGTAATTTTAAATCGTTTGAAGGTTTTTATCATTAGCATAATATCAAGCCTTGCCTTCCCTTGGCCATGACCACATATTTCCCCATTTCATTATTTGGTTGTTTTTTTTTTTTTTTTTTGGGGGGGGGGGGTTGCTTTAGTAATTTAAATCTTTTATTCTTTAAAAACAGTTTTATTCTTTGAGAATTACCAATATGTATATATACAATGTATTCTGAGCATATACACCACCTGTACTCACACTCAAACACCCTCTGGACTCCATCTTTCCCTCTGCCCCACCCCTCATCCCTGCCAATATAATAGCTCCCAACTTCATGTTCTTGTTTGTTGTTTTTTTTTTTTTTTAATCCCACTGAGTCCATGAGCGCTGCCAATGTACACAGGGGTGTGGGCCTGCCTACTGGAGTGTGAGCCGCCTACCCAGTGGCCACATCCCCAGAGGAAAATTACTTTCTGCCCCTCCCCCGCCCCCAGCCAGCAACTGCCAACAGCTCCTCAGCTAGGCGCGGCCCCCGTGAGCCCCTCCTTGTCCATATGGAATTTTGACTGGCCTGATCTACTGCGGGTAGACACAGCCGGTGTGAGCCTATGAGTCGGATGGAGAGTCATGCCATGTCCAGAAGACAGCATGGCCTAGTACTCTTACCCATCCTAACGCTCTTACGTTCTTTTTCTTTTCATGATAGAAGTATATTTATAAAGCAAATAAGTAGCAACAGTCAAATCCAAAACCAGCCACCAACCCCCGGGCCTGAGAAACATCTGGACGGCTCCCTTGGGGTGCTCATCAGGAAGGGCATGGCATGCAACACACTTGACAGTGGTTAGTGACCTTATGGTCACTGCAGCAGGTGTCAGGGGTGTGGGATGCATGGCCAGTGGAGGAAGGAGTTCAGTGGCTATTGGGGCCTCAGTCAGGAGGGCTCTCGTCTTCCGGCAGAACCACTGGCCCCACGCTTGCACTCTTCCTGCTTCCTCTTCCTTAATGTTCCCTGAGCCTTGGGGACTGAGTTGACACAGATCTCCCACGTGGGGCTGAGTATTCACGGTGCCTTTTCCTTAGAACTTTGACCAGTCACAAGTCTCTACGTTAACCTCTGCTGACCCCACCACGAACTTCATCTGGACCAAGTTTGAGAGCAGCATATATCTACAGGCGTATAAGCATAAATATTTAGAAGTCAGTTTGACAACATGAACATTTTTGGCAAATAACAACAGGTTTCTCCGTAATGCCTATGACCTCACCAGCCATAGACTTTTTTTTTGACTATGTTTATAGTACCAGTTATAAATTTCCTCCTGTGTAACAGGCTTCAAATCTGATTTAAAAACATGTTAATTAGCCGTAAAACAGTCATGCAAATATTTCATCAGGAGGCACATCTTGCCTGGAAGATGGCTGCTGTAGCAGGTAGGGGTCAGACCATTGATGTCTCTTCTCCCTGACGGCCTGCATAGCACTTTCTGGCTCTCTGAAAGCTAGCCAGGAAGGAAGAAGTTTCTCCGTCACTTCAAGGTTGATTGCTCTTATTCTGCTACCAAGCTGTGTGGTGTCTTTAGCAGAAGGGTTTTAGCATGTAGTTAGGATAGGCAAGCAAAACCAATGACAGCAGTAGCCCACGTTGTTTTAGAGGCCTGTGGGACCAATAACTTGAAGGGAACTAATCCTGCCTGGCGCTGAGGTTTTCACTTAATAACCCTTGTCTTCCGGGAATAGCATCGTCTGCCCATTCGGGTTACCTCCGTTGAAACTCTCCTTTTATCTTTTAATTAGATTCTGTCATTAGCTTACAAAGTAGCAGAGCTCCATAAGAATTAGTAATACAGCCCTAGTTTTCCCCCATTTGTTTATTTATTTATTCACTTCACATCCTGATCACAGATCCCCCTTCTCTCCTCCCAGTCCTCCTCCCAATCCTTCCTCCATCCTCTCCTCTCCTCAGAGAAGGGAGAGGTCCCCCCCCCCTTGGGTACCAACCCACCATGGCACATTAAGTCACTGAAGGACTAGATGTATTCTCTCCCACTGAGGCCAGACAAGCCAGCCCATTAGGGGAACAGGATCCAAAGGCAGGCATCAGAGTCAGACAGGGCCACCCCTCCAGTTGCTGGTGGACCCACATGAAGACCAAGCTGCACATCTGCTACATACACGCAGGGGCTTAGGACCAGTCCATGTATGCTCTTTGGCTGGTGATTCAGTCTCTGTGAGGCCCCATGGGACCAGGTTGATTGACACTGTAGGCCTTCTTGTAGAGAACTTGATTCCTCCAGGTCCCTCAATTGTCCCCCAACTCTTTCATAATGACTCTCTGAGCTGTCTAATGTTTGGCTGTGGGTCTCTACATCTCTTTCCATCAGCTGCTGAGTGAAGCCTCCCAGAGGAGTTATGCTAAGCTCCTGTCTACAAGCACAGCAGAGTATCATTAATAGTGTCAGGGACTGGTTCTCTCTCATGGAACAGGTCTCAAGTAGGGCTAATTTTTGGTTGACCATTCCCTCAATCTTTGTACCATCTTTGTCCCTGCTCATCTTGTAGGTAGGATAAATTTCAGGTCAAAGGTTTTGTGGGTGAGTTGGTGTCTTTATTCCTCCCCTGGAAGCCACTTCAGGCTTCATCTCCCCTGCTGCTAGAAGTCTCAACTAGGGTGACCCCCACAGACTTCCTGGGGCCTCCCCTATGCCAGGTCTCTGGCATTTCCCAGAGATGTCCCCACCTCCACTTTCCATTCTCTCATCCAGCCCTCTTGCCTACTCCTAATCCCCCACCCTACCCTCCTATCCAGATACCCTCCCCCCTCCCATTTACCTCCCATTTATAGGAAATAAAATGCCTATTTTATTTCCTCTTAGGAGTGAAATTCAAGCACCTCCCTTGCCCTTCCTTGTTACTTACTTAGCCTCTTTGGTTCAGTGAACCACATACCTTAAGCTTCAGCCACATGGCTGAACAAAACCACACCATGAGAAAAGAACAGCATTTGCATGCAATGCTAAAACTGTTCTAGATTGAGCTCTACAAAGTCAACATTTATAAGTGAAAACATCTCATGCCTGTCTTTCTGGGTCAGAAACACAGAATAATCTCTAGTTCCATCCATTTGCCTGCAGATTTCATGATGCCCCTGCTTTTAATAGCTGAGTAGTATTCCATTGTGTAAATGTTGAGGGACATCTAGGTTGTTTCCAGTTTCTAGCTCTTACAAATAAGCTGCTATGAACATGGTTGAAAAAGTATCTTTGTGGTATGGTGTAGCATCTTTTGGATATATGCCCAAGAGTGGTATGGTATAATTGGGTCTATTCCCAATTTTCTGAGAAAGTGCCAGACTGATTTCCAAAGCAGTTGTACAAGTTTGCACTCCCATCAGCAATGGAGGAGTGTTCCCCTTTCTCCACAACCTTGCTAGCATGTGCTGTCACTTGAGGTTTGGATCAAGCCATTCTGGGGGATGTAAGATGTAATCTCAGAGTCATTCTGATTTGCATCTCTTTGATAAATAAGGATATTGAACATTTAAG